GATCAAAACCCCAAAACCCCAAAACCCCTTCAAAGTTAATAAATAGCTTTCGAGCTTAATTGAATTGAAATCAAATTTATGTTGGATAATCTTGATTGAATATCTGAGATTTAATATGAGATGAGATGATACTTCTAATATTATCATTCAAAAGCAAGGAAATCTTGGGCAACTTGCTCTGTTTCACTATTAGCTGGGACATAGATCTTAGCTTCCCCTCCTTGCAAAGTGATTTGAACGCCATTGTTGCCAACTTAGGTGCAGTCATTTTGCTTAAGTTTGTTGCAGACTGTTTGTCCAGCTGAAAATGGGTGATAGCTTACCAGAATACTTTGAGTGCCTTGGTCATCATTAGTAAGTGCAACTAGTACTTGGCCTCTTGAGAAAGCGTAGAATTTGTCATTTACGTATCTCTCGACATGTTGTTCCTTCCATACTTAGTGAGACTTTCTTACGCTAACAACAGTTTAGAGGTACTTATAGAGCTCAGAGTTAGGATTCATGGTATTCCAAAGAGTCTCTCTGTTATTAGGATCAGCTCCACCAGCATACCCTTATTCACTTCCATAATAAACAATAGGGATTCCCTAAGCGAAGAGAGCAAAGGTTAAGGCAGACTTAAATAGGGGAATTGAATAGGTCATACTTAGGAATCTTGGGTTGTCGTGATTGTCAACGAATACTCCGAGAGCATCCATGTCATGGAAGGCATTTTTTTCACCGTTAAGGGTGGTTCTAATTTGGTACATACTTTGCTTGTAATTGAAAACATTTTTCATAGTGAAGTACAAGGGATAGTTTAGGGTAGCATCAAGTGCATTGTTAGCGAAGTTTGAAACATAGCCAATGTCTCCATTCAAAGCCTCTCCGATGGAGAAGACTCCAGCTGCTTGAGAGTACTCCTTCCAGAATGGAACTTTCACATGAGGGACTGTGTCTACTCTGATACCGTCAAAGTTGTATTCTGAGACTGTATCCTTAACCCACTTCTTTAGAGTGTCTCTAACAAATTAGTTATCTTGGTTAAGATCTGGAAGATTTGAGAGTCTACAGTACTCGACTTCATTTGCATCTCCCCAGTTATTGATCTAGCATTTAGTATGATAGTGTGAGCCATCGTTGAATGGGGTTACTTTACCGTAATCAGTGTCAATATAGGCTACATGATTAGCAACCACATCAAGCATTACCCAAATTCCTTTGGAGTGAGCAGTGTTGATCATTGATTTTAGAGAGTTAGCATCACCGAAATGTGGGTTAGGATTGTACCAATTAAGAGCTGCATAGCCGTGATAGTCATCACCATAATTCTCAGGCATCGGAGAGATCCAGATTGCATCGAAGCCCATGTTTTTTATATAATCAAGCTGGTCCTCAATACCTTTCCAGGTGCCTCCGCAGTATTTATGAATATCTGCACATCCAGCTGTAGAACCATCAGTTCTCCAGAATCTATCAGTAATCAATTGATAGATAGTTCTTGACTTCCACTCATCCTTTGAATGAAGGAGCACTGATGATGAGAAAAGAGCGAGTAATGTTATATATTTGATTAGTTACATTATTTTATAATATTTATGTTAATATCCAGGATCCAGATATAAATTATAGTAGATTTCATATCTAAACTTATTGTAAAATATCTCTGATTTACAGAATCAGTTCAACGGGGTTTTGGGGTTTTGGGGTTTTGGGGTTTTGGG